GAGCGATCTGGGGGAAGGTTGAAGTGTCCGCTGCCCGCGCGTCTTCTTCGCTGCGGCCGCTGCGTGAGAACACTGCTGTGGGTGTTCTTGGGCCCTTGCATCACCGATGGTAATTACAGAAGACTATTTTTTGCCGTTCGGGAACATCCAGAGGAAGAGGCTACAAGCAGGGTGATAAACGAGAGAGAATTCTCGAATCGGGATTGCCTTTTGGAGTTTGGGGTGGTGTAAGATGTGATCGGACGTTGGCGGCATTGGGGGGCACGGATGGTTTTCGATTCTACACGCAACTTTTCTGTAAATATAAAGGCGCTGTGAAAGAGCCTATTTCAGCTCAGTAAATCTGGAGCAGAGGATTTGGCTTCGTAGTTACTTGTTAAGGGTGGATTTTTCTCGTGCCTGTTTTCTGAAGGAGGTTAGCCGTGGGTGGAATCAACGACAGATTAATCTTGTCTTGTAGAAAATGCAGTTCATTTTAGTGCTCGGCTCTCTTGAAGGTCTGAGGCTCATCTGGAAACACCCATGAACCTTCAGGGCCAGAACAACAGCTTGCTGGTCATGAAGAAGTGGGCTGGGATTGTTCTGTTTATTTCTCTGCTTACTGATGAGGCAAAAGTCCCAGCACTAACCTCTGGGCCTTAGGCATACTTTGGAAATATAAAATGCCTTCAGGGTGATCACAGACATAAAGCCAATGGAAAATATTTATTTTTTGATGCTCGTACCTATGTAGGATGGGGTGGGAGAAGACGGAAAGCTTGCAAAACTAACATTACGACTGTTGAACGAGCCAACTGCTGTGAGAATCTCTTGGAAGTAGCTATTAGGCTATTAATAACAGCTCAGCCGTACATCAGGGAATCTCACCAGGTACGGTGCTACCATTGGACTAAGGACCCAAAGGCTTGAGGAATCCTTTTTGTGTATTTTTTCTTTCTTTGGCCTACAGAGCGAGTTCCAGGACAGGCTCCAAAGCAATACAGAGAAGCCCTGTCTTGAAAAACAAAAAACAACAACAAAATTGAGATTTGTAGAGATAAGTCTCTACTTTTAAATTTCAAAATAATAAGCCCGCCTCCAGATGTAAGCCCATAGTAGAATCGTCTTCACAGGCACAAGTTAAAGACATGGATCCTGAAACAACTCTGCCTTCTGAGGACAGAAGTTACTGCTTTTCACAGATGTCCTCCTTTTTCCTCTCCCTTTCTTTCTTTCTTTCTTTTCTTTCTTTCTTTCTTTCTTTCTTCTTCTTAAATCTATATCTGTTTTTGAAGGATTTGGGTGACTGCCAAGCCCTAACCTTTACAGATCACTTGAAAAGATAATCAGACTTTCTACACTCACTTTTAGAAAAGGTAGGGTCACCTCCAGGCCATTTACATATTTCATTCGTGTGTTGCAATGAGAACTGAGCCCCGAATTCTGCTTGTCAGGGCAGCCATCATCATTCAGAGAAGTTCCAGACGCCGCCATTCTTTTTCCTTCACACACACAAAAAGTACCGCTCTAACTCGCTAAAGTCAATGTTCCATTTTTTCCTTTCTATTGACTTATTAAATAGTACCAGCTGAACAGTTGTTGAGACTGTTGACATTTCCAGTTTTTGGAATCAGCAATGTTTGCCTGAATCATTTAAAATGAAATCTCCTATAAAAGTGTCTCTAAAGTCACCATTAATTTTCCGGATTTTTCCCACAAACTGCACTGTTAACGTGACATAGTCCTTGCCTGATGTGAAAAACTAATAAAGATTTTATTTATTGGGGGGGAGGGGCACTGGGGACCAACCCCAGGAAGCCCTGGACCCCCGAGGAGAAAAATCATGCTTACCTGAGCTATGCCCTTAAGTCCTAAAGCCCGGTAAAGATTTTCTTTTTTTACTCCTTATGTTAGTGTATGAGTTTGCATTTGTGCTCCTCTGTGTGTGTGTGTGTGTGTGTGTGTGTGTGTGTGACTGTCTCTGTCTCTGTCTCTCTCTGTCTCTCTCTCTCTCTTGCTCTCTCCCTCCCTCTCTCCTTTCCCCCTTTTGGCAAGTCCCATCTCTCCTTGGGTCTTGGAGACTCAACGGGTTCCTTCATCAGCTGAACCATGCCATCCACTAAGGAAGGTTTTTAATTGATTGATTTGCTCTGTATGCTTGTGTGTATGTTTGAAAGTCAGAGGACAGCTTGGAGAAACCTGCCCATTCCTTCCACTCTGTAGGTCCCAGGGTTAGAACTTCAAGCCCATTATGAGTGATTGCTGTTTCCCTCCTGAGCAGTCTTATGGGGCTCATGTGAAGGTTTGTCCACGATTTTTTTAAAGGCAGATTTTCATCCAATGGCTTCTTTGGTTGTAGATTGTGTATCTCTAAGATAAGCAGTTCACTCCCATGCCAGAAAATTATGCTTGTTTATTGATTTATAGTCCCCTTTGGCTACATTCCAGGCTCCTTCTTCTAGTAACAGTAGAGTCTTCTAACTTTGTCATATACCCTGAAGGATTAAGTGAAAAGTCCCTTATGCTCTCATTCCTTCCTTCCTGCCCCCTGGTTCTGGGAAGGAGCCTTTTTTAAGTCGTGGCATCAGCAGGGGGAAGTCACTTGTAGTAGCTTGAGGAGTCCTAGAGCTCTGTGTGGGCTTTGGAAGAGGGCACTGGCCTGAGAGTGTTTGAAAAGCATCCATACCTTGCTGTGTCCCTGTGTGTGCTGCTGTAAGATATGTGAATAGCCCTGTGTCTTCTTGGGGGTCGTTACGGGTTTTGACAAATCACATCCTCTCAGGTTCTCTGATGGGGGTTCTCGGATCTACTCTGTCTTCTGAGCATGTCTTCATTTGACTACTAGGGTCATTGATGCAGCTCATGGGCCATGAGGCAATTTCAAACATGCCTTTAGAAAAAGCATTTTGTAAATCAAACCTGAATTTTCTGAATGTTTTTATTTACTCCTAAAATATCTCTAAGAGGAACATGGACACCATTTCATTTCCTTTATTGAGTCTTCTTCAGACTTGAAAAGGTGCTGATATTTAATTCATTATAATGCAGAAGATGGAATCCAGTGTCTTGCCCATAGGCAGTTGCCCTACCTCTGAGCTGCCTCCCACCTGTAATTATCTCCTGGCACAGAGCCTTGTGTCCTATTTTATAGGAATGTCAAAGAACTGTTTGTTCAGTTTTGGTTTTTGTTTGTTTATTTGTTTGTTTTTTTTTTTAAAGAAAAACAGCTTGTAGGCTGTCTGGCTGTGGGAAGTGTAGACTCAACTTTGAATTTCTTCCTCTTAAGCAAAAGGCCAGTGCTGGTTCTTCAAAATGAAGCCCTTTATCCGCAGCGGCGCTCCTACACCAGCGAGGACGAGGCTTGGAAGTCTTTCCTGGAAAACCCTCTCACTGCAGCAACCAAAGCAATGATGAGCATCAACGGAGATGAAGACAGTGCAGCTGCGCTGGGCCTGCTCTATGACTACTACAAGGTGGGTTTCGGGCTCTTTACAGCCCGGAATGGCGTTCTCAGACGAACCTGATTCAGCAGCCTATAAAACAGTCATTTGCTGAATGTTGGGCTGGCTACCTCTGTAGTGACTATAAATAGTTTAATGAGCACTCGGGCTTTCTGTGATTCAAAGCTGAGCATCTACGATCACAGAGTCAAAGGGTGGCTTTTAAACAGCTGCTCTGGCCCTAGCTGAAGGAGACGCTGCTGTAAAAGAAGGTAGTAGCCATGTCTCCCCCAGTTGAAATGTTTTAACAAACTTGGTTCCTGGTGCCATGAAAAGGGTTTGTTGCTGGCTGACCTGGGCTCTTCCCTTCCAGGTTGTCAGGACGATTGCCTTTTCCGTTACTGCTATCACAAGGCCTTAGGATTGGCTGGGGGAAATGTACACTTTTACAATTCTTGGGTCTCATTCTAAGATCAGAATACGTTTATCTTGTCTGTTTCCAGACAACTGAATTAGCCTTAACTGTCATGTGTAGGTTTTTGCATCAGTCTGCCTCATGGTTCTTAATGGAGTCTCAGGAATTCAACTGCCACTCACTGATGACCTGTTTTACACTAGACAGCCTCTGTGTCACTTTCAACTCTCAGGTCCAGCAACTAAGATGGATTCAGTTAGGTTCCAGCCCCAGTCCAGTTCCTGCCACACTGTACTCTCTGGTACTAGAGAGTGGTCTGTGTCTGCTGTCTTCCTTGACTTGACCAATGGCAGATGCTCAGGGGATGGTCATTTGAGTTTCTTGGTTGTGAGCATCAGCTGTTATTACTTAATAACTAGCGATGCTTTAAAAGCGAATTGCTAATAAATCAAGCAGTACTTTCATGTTATGTGTATGTGTGAGGGATTATGGGAGAGTGTCTGCACATGAGTGCAGGTGCCCATAGGGGCCACAAGAGGGAGCTAGATTCCCTGAAGCTGGAGTTATGGGTGGCTGTGAACTGCCGGATATGAGCGCTGGAATCCAGACTCTTGTGCAAGAGCAATGAAATGAGCCATCTCATAAGCCCTTTGTTGGTTGTAAATGGTGAAATATGAAAGAACTCTTGCACTGCAAATATCTCTCATATCTCAGCTACGCTTGTGCACCTGTTTGAACCACGACTCTCTCGGATGGGTTAATGTCACAGTGTGCCCATTGTCATTTGTCTGCTCTTTGGCTTTGGGGCAAAGAGAGGAGCTATAAAAGGAATAGAACGGGGCCGGGCGTTGGTGGCGCATGCTTTAATCCCAGCACTCAGGAGGCAGAGGCAGGCGGATCTCTGTGAGTTTGAGGCCAGCCTGGTCTCCAGAGCGAGTGCCAGGATATGCTCCAAAGCTATACAGAGAAACCCTGTCTCGAAAAACC